ACGCAGCGTATATCCTGTTTCTATCACTAATACCAAGTCTATGGCTTGCCATGCCCTAGTTTCTTATGTGCCAACCCACAAATGTTGTAGTACTGTTTACTTTGGTTAGGTTCAAAGTTGAACCACAACAATAGAGGAGGGGTAATAACACACACCTCGAGTAGAATATATAGAGAAATACTTGAACCAGAGAGATACCATAACTGTTTAGCACACGCTTGGTCAAAGGATCGGCTCTACTTGTCTCTTTTTGACGACTTGTTGTGTGGTGCTAAGAATGACAAGACTCATTGACGATGCCGGCGAAACGTCTGGGAATGTACCACGTCCAAGGTCTGACTTTGGAAATGATTATGCATACAATGGACTCAGGACAAGGTAGGTTCCTCTAAGTCTTTCTACCAATATGACCAAGTTGCGAAAACAAGGTCTTCATACCTTCAATAAAAATATAATTTGTTCCCTAGAATGAGACAATGAAGAGAAAACACATTGACTAATCTCTAGAATCCTCATGAAGGAACATATCTGAACACGGTTGCATTTTTGTCAGAACAATTAGAGCTTAGATATGAAGACCTGGATATGGAATTAGTCTTCTTTAGCTGTATAAAAATTTCTAGAAAGATACCAAACATTCAAATTCTGCAGTAAATCTTTCCTTTATAAATAAAGTAGTTGGATGTCTTACAAAGCAGGGCAAACAGGGGATGAAATGAAACTTATCTAACTTCAGCACCTAATAATCCGAAGGCATTAATGAACTATTTTGTTAATTGTGAGTCGTGTCTCGTCCATGAACTTAAAGCAAAACTGTGGATGTATATGTAAATCTTAAAGGATTAAATCCAAATAAAATAATTTGACATGATCGAAATTACAAAGGAAAAAAATTACCCATAAACGGTTACAAGTTTTCCGAGTAGATGATCCGAGACACGTTCACTGAAGATGATGATTTGAAGAGTCTGCATAAATGATGGCAGATAGACGTTACTACCTGCACAATCATTGTTTATTAGTGAAGTCGTGTCTTGGTTGGTAGTGCCAGATTCTTTAGATCCAAAGGCTAGATTCGGTCCAATTTCGTCTTCCAAGGAACGGGTAAAGAGTTTCCTGGATATGTTTGATAAATTTGAGACTGTATGTGTAATTTCGAATGGCAGAATCGAAGTATCATGTTGTGAAGATCCAGATGTTGGTATTGGTGTCGATATGCTATCTATGGGTTGGTTAGTACGAGAGAAAGAAGGCTTGGAGGTTGAAGAGAGGGCTAAAGTAGAGTCTAGTGCGGCAGAATAAGTAGCAAAATAGGGAGCACTTTTAGAATTGTTGAAGCAAGTGTCGATACCAATCGTTTGTGTCTGAAGCTCCCACCAGGAACGCGACGAGTTGCCACAGCGAAGCAAGACTCGGATGTCAATTGCTGACTTATGTGGTGATAAAGATGATGGTGCAGGGCGTATGGTATCCTTTTTGGCTAAATAAAAACGCGGTACCACTCTGCGTAACCAAATACCACTGTGAGGAAGTTTGGAAAATGGAGATGATGAAGCAGGCACGTTCGCGGATCTTCTAAGGTCAGTAGCTGTATTCTATACAAGGTAAAGCATAGTTTATCATATCAATAATATTATCAGCAATCAAGAGAGTAGTAGTAGAATAACAAATATCAGGAGAATGCGAAAGGCCAAATGACCAAGTTTAATTTGGCTCAGAAGTAAACCGAAGAAATAGAAGAAAAAGAACTATTAGTCTTGATGGGCAGCTGAGTCCTCACATAGGAAATAAAACAAATGCATTCTGATTGGATTTTACTTGTGCATAGAAGAAATTTGTTAAAAACTTATGCAAGTAGGTAGGAAGCGAATCCTATGTGGCAATAGGGAGACTCTGATAAGACCTATGGGAAGAGGATTGCGGAATAGTATCACAGACTCTGATCAACATCCTCAACATAAGGGTGAAGGGGTACGAAAGCCAGTGTGGGATGTGGAGAATTCTCATGAAATCCGCCTAAAAAAGCATATCATGCCACATTTTAATAAGCAATTAATAAATTGTGTTAGTGAAGGGGTGATAGGAGGATAAAGGATTGCAGAATAGCCCATGGCAGAAGAGATACCACAATTGTAAAATAATCGGCTTCGTTTGTCCCTTTGACGAGTTGTAGTGTAGTTGTAAGATTGACAAGGCTCACTGACGATGCTGACTATGATGCCGGCTAAACGTCTGTAAATGTACCACGTCCACGGTCCGACTGGAAAATATCATGCATACTATGGACTCCGGACTAGATTCGTTCATCTACGTCTACGTACCAAAATGACCAAGTTGCGAAATTAAAGTCTAACAACTTCTATGAAATGAAAGGAGATTGCGACCATACAAAAGGCCAAACCAGCTTGGTCTCCATATCTTCGATTAAATAAAATTTATTTGAGCAGAATCGAACTTTTGTGTATAATTTTTGCATTCGACCGTATTGCTAATGTAAAACTAATCTTAATTATATGGTATTTGGAGGAATATATATTACTTTAAGTATAAATTGGCAGATTTAAAAAGCACTAAAACAATAAGAACAGCATCGTTTGATGATAAGTAGCAAAGGATTATAAGTGGTAAAATCAATACAAGCCTGATAAGCAACCAAACGCTAACAAATATATAAAATTGGAAACTAAAAATTGGGAAACAATCAAAAGATGAAAATCAATCATCTATTCATTAAATTGGTATTTTGAAACTACATATATGTATATATATATATATATCAGAAAGAGAAAATATGTTTATTAAAAACGCAAGTAAGCGTTATCTAACTTGGGAAGAATAGGGAATCGTGGAGCTTAATTCTTGTAGCAGTTCTTCTCTCTCATCTGTTGTTATTTTTCGAGTGTAGACAGAGTCAACGACCAATGAACCTGATTGATATTCCTTAGGGGGCCTAATAGTTAAAACATATAGAAAGTAGGAAACACAATATAAATTTAAATAGCTAATAAGGAACATAACACTAAATATTAAGTAAATACAGGGAATGTAGTAAAAGTAGAAAAAATGGAGCTGGTCGTCATAGCCAATGAAATATACGCACATAAAATAATAAAAAAGAGAAGTAGCGAGGAGTAACTAGCGTAATGAAGAAATGCATTAGATCGCTTAGTCTTTTAAACTCTAAAGATGGATTTGCTTGTCAAGTTAAACAAGAGGCCTAGTGTTCCTATTAATTATGCTTCAACCCGTACATGCTTCAAGGACAAATGTAGCGAAAAGTGAGCTACATAAAGGAGATAAACTTATCTGCTGCACAATGAACACATTGAACATGGGATCTTTGTGCATATAGATATATATATATATATATATATACTATTGAGTGGATACAGTAATTTTTAGAATAAATCTTCATTGCCCAAAAAATAACGAGCTAGATGGGAAAAATACGCTCGTAGTACCGATATTTCCTATATGGTATAAAAAGCGATAGAAAGTCATATATAATCCGTAACCCAATGACAACATGAGTGTTTTCGTGTTTTTCATTTATCGTACAGCTGTAGATTTTTTAATTCTGGATTGCATTGAGTAAGTTCTAATCTCGGTTGAGATATTGATGAGATCTAGATGGGCTCAAAGATGTAATCCATCCATAATAACAATGCACTTTTCAGATACATAATGAAGTGGAATTATTGATAAATCAAGTTTCTTGAGGTTAAAGTGAGCAATTATTTTGCTTATACTCTTCGTCTTGAAACCAGCTTATTCATCAGCTGGCTTAATTCTTCATTGAACTGAATGCGCAAAATAAAGAGGGCACGAATATTGAAATAATGTTGTTTGAATTAATACATTATAAAATAATAAAAAATAGATAGCAACAACAAGTTTGAAAAAGGTTTCCAATAGACAAAACGATGAACTCAACGACATGGATAATCAAATCAAGTAATATGCTAAATGAAATCATGCAATGAGAGAGGAAAGCAACGGAGGGCTGGCGCGAAGTGAAACAGAATCTATCAATGATACCAATTAACGGAGTTCGAAACTACCGTGAGTTTTTGAATAAGGGCTGTATTCATCCGAGGGCGCATGAGTGAATGAAGGACCGATAGATAAATTCGCCCACAATTATATAAGCAAGGCAAAAAATTTCAATTAAATTTTACTTGGCTGTGCTTCCCACAAAGTAATTTCATCCAGGGTGGAAGGGACCTGGCCTTCCGTGAAATCCACATCTGCCCTGTGACCCAGGGGCTCTCGTGGCAGTGTGGCGTAATTATTAACGTGTAGGGACTATACGATGCACTACCAGGGTTGATTGGACCTAGCTGAGGATAAAGATGCAGTACATTCTGGATAAGAATACTTCTTGGAAAGCGAGGTTAAGTGAAATTCACCAGAAGCGTGAGGCTAACTCACATGATTGTGGGGAAATTCAAAAATCTGTTCTTCATCACGCTATGCGACCTAGAGTGAATAAAACTCTTATTTAGAATCTCCATATATTTTTAAGTACTATAATGGATAGAAATATGAGGGCTCCTGAGGCTCGCTGCAGAACTGAAGTGGCCATGAATAAGGAAAAGAAGTGGGGGGATTTAAATAAATAAAGGAGCAAGTATAAAACAACACCATACAAATGGTCATATTTTGATAATCAATAAAAGGAATTATATCAAGTTTTTGAAATCTATATCCAAATAATCGAATAATTTCGCTGAATTAAACTAATAGAACCGAGTGCCCTTGAGCTACTAACCATAATAATTGAGAGATGAAATAACAAAATATAATTTAAATAATTGTATTAAGGACTGCATTTGAGGATCATCTCATGGGAGTTATGAATACCCCAATAAGAAACCGTTATTTAAAATAGTCTTATATGATTCAAGTTCTTTATACTTAATAGCCAAAAAAGACAATAGTCCCAGCTGTCTAGTATTCTCAGTTACATAGGATTCTTTTAATACCTAGGGAAAAGAAAATAGCAACAAAGTTTTAACCGAGGAAGCGAGTCTGCAAGAGCTAATCTGATGTCAGTCAGCCGGTCAGATATGCCTGGCGCTAGTTGAAAAGTATTTAGTTTCTACAATAAAATATCTAAGAGTAATTTAGACTCACCGGCGACACTCAATGCGAAAGTTTATCAGCAGTTCAGAGTCTCTATTTTTCACTTTGGCAATGAGCGACTTCAGTGTGGGCGGCGTAATCGCCCAGAAATGTCCCGAGAAGCCGTCAATAGTGACATTACTGATATCACCAGAATGGAAATTGTTGATGAACCCAACTGTTGACTGTGGATGCATGTGAATACGAGAATAAGGGTGTAAAGTAAGAATGAAGCGTGATTTGGGTTGCATATGAAAAAGTGGAAAGTTAACGAGAGCTAATAATAAATAAAAATAACTAAATTAAAGCTGTAAACTAGCTAAATTGGTACATCTGAATAAATTCAAGTGATAGCAGCAAGCTTTCAACGAAGTATTTGCAGTGGAAATAAAAGTTTAAGGCCAATAGATATTGTGAGCTGGCCATGAGCCTGTAAATAGTGATAAGGGTTTTATCAAGTAAATTTATTAAATACGGAAATGGGTTAGAAGGGTGGAAAATTACTTGAATATTGTCAACAAAAAAGAAATTCTGGATAGGATAGAGAAATAAATTGCAATAAGAAATATTATCACAAACCGGATCGCTTTCAAAGCACTTCAGAAGTTGATCACGTGTCGAGTCCGTAAAGGAACGAATGCTTCCCTCTCGTGAGGTGAAAGTGAAGACGGGCTAATCAGATGGGTAGAGCATAATTGAGTTGTTAGGTAAGAAGTAAAGAAGTAAGGAGTGATAAAGTCACAAAGCTATAGTATATAAGCATGATCGAAAAAGAGATACAAGCAGTAGCGAAAGCTGACAGATTACATTCTTTGAAAGCATTGTAGCTCATCTTAAAGATTAAACCCTAAAAGTAATATTACTTGAATTCAGTGGGAAAAATCAAACCAAATCCTTTTCAGAAATAGTCTGTGGTTAAAATAGATTTAGACGAATGAAGAAGGAAATGCAATTAATTTGAAGTATATACGAATTGCTATAGTTAAATTTTAGGAGCCTTTAATCGTATATAGTTGGCCTGACCCCACTTAGTTTCTGAATAGAAGCCTGGTGGAGATACTCACTAACCTTATCTGAGTGGTAGGATCTCATAAGGTCACAGAGCTTAGTGAGACCTATGATACGGAACGTAATAAGTTGTTTAAGTTTATAGATATTAAGTCAAAGCTCAGCGTGATTTAGCCAGGATCCTGTCTCCGGAAGATTTTCAAAAACTCCAGAGCATGACCGACAGGAAATCACGTAGAATTTCTGACTTAATAATAAAATGGCATGATGATAAATTGCGTAAGTTTGGGATTATAAGACAGCCCAAGTTAAAGTCAGTACGCCCAGATGAAGTTGCTTCCGAGGTGACAACACCTACTGATAAGCACGAGGATAGGAAGAAAGTATCAATTCCTCTCAATCCCGAAACAACCGCGTTCCTGGAAAAAGAACTCAATTTTTCAATTCAACATCACAGGAGCCTTCTAAGAGACATCCTGGTGGAGGTTATCAATATCACCAAAAAGTTCCCTGAAGAGGCAAAAGGGGAAATGGAGATGGAACTAATTCCAAAGATATTGACCCATCAGGAGCCTACACACAGGAATAGATTTGCCGGGATACGCAAAACCCTGGAAACGAATGGACAATTAGTCCTTCAGACGGACAAAGGAGATACAGTGATAATGAAAAAAAAACAATATACCGAGAAGATAAAACATATTCTAAGAGACAAGACCACATATCGTAGACCAAACTATGAAGATCAATGGAATCTTATGTGCCATAATGAAATATATGCATGGGAATGGGGAAATTGACGCATGGACAAGAAATTAAATCATAAGAAAGGATGTACGACCATCAAAGCATACAGATTATCGAAGATA